TACTCAGTCAATCCTAGCGGGGAGCACTACAAGTGTTTGTGCCTGCAAAGCGGCTGTAGGAGCCCGCAACGTACGAGGTGGCCATGTACCACGGTCTTGTGCAGAGATTCATTCTGAATCTGCCCACCCCGATGTTTCGGGGAATCGACGACTACGGGACAAGCCACGAAGGATAGGGAGGAGCGCTATAAGGGATGTATCTTCCCCGAAACACCGAACGATTCACACCACCTTAAAATGACCTTCCTACTTGGGCACAACCCTCATCTCCTTCGTAACTGGAACCAATCACTACTCTTCAGCTCCACTGTTACTATCGGATTCGCCCGACACCGAAGCTCTTACCTACAGCCTCCATTTACTCCCTCCCCACCTCTCAATAGTGTAAGTACCTGGCCACCACTTACGACCAGGTTCAGTCGCAAAAACCAACGTGAACGAGCGCAGCCTCGGAATGCTACCCCGGCAAATCCACGAGCTGGCTCTAGAATCTGACCTTGCCACCGGGTTAGCTTGATCTAAGAACCCCAGTTCAACTCCTTCTCCCGCTCGATTCTGCCCATCAATGAGTGGGAAGACCCGTTTTCCTCCCCTTCGTCTTCTCACCCCTCGCTTCACTCTACCATCTCGGCGCACCTCTTATTCCCACTAACTTTTTCCCTACTACTCCTCTCCTAAAACTAACTACATAGTGAGATTTGCCCTGGCCCATAACCCCTGTTTAGTACCTCACCTCGCTCGAATCCTTCGAGGATCGAGTGAGGTACAAATTCTTTACTCCCACCTCCTTTCGTTTTTACCTCCGCCATATCCCGGCGAAGCTCCTTCTTCAGCCCTCTCCTTAGTTACTAACTCACTAACTAAACTAACTCTGTAATCGCGTTCGCCTCCCCCAAAACCCCCTACTTCAAGACTTGGCTCGCCCGATTTCATCGAGAAACGGGCGGCCTACCTCCCTTTCAGCCCGCCATCTCCATCACTTCCCTCTTACTGAAGGTACCCGGTGCAACACCTCGTCCCGATTCGCTCACCAGTTCCCCGTTGCCTCGTTGCCCGTCGCCCCACTGTCTGTCACTCAGCGCCGCTCCTTCCTCCACGCTCCGCCTCAACGCCTGTTTTTACCAAGTATAGCGCAAGCAGCCCCGCTCCCGCTGCGCCTCCCCCGCCTCTCCTCCATCATCTTCTTCACCATCCTTCGCATGCACCTGGGCGCGGTTCACGTCCCGATTCGCCCTCCCTCACCGCTGCACCGCGCCATACTGCCCGGCCAGCCCCGTTGCGCTACCTACTCGTCACCCCCTGCTTTGCGCCTCCCCTGCAGCTCCGCCCTCACCCAGTCACGACCCCCGTCCGGGTTCATCCCCCTCCTGGCAGGCCCTGTTAGCTCAGCACTTCAGCTACCTCCGACCCGACCTAGTAGCGCCGAACTCCGGCCGGCGGCAGAGGAAATCAAGTGAGTCAACCCGACTCCGCACGTCCCTCCTCCTTTTTATGCGTATCGTCCTGGCGCGCGGGCCATGCAAGCTTTCTCTGTATCACTCCAATTTTAACGGATGTCCCGAAGGACTCAGCCGGGGCAATGCCCTGCGGCTTTCCCAAAGGCCGTCCAACCTTTTTCCCTTGCACCCCGCACGCGCCTACCCCAACTCCCATCTGGATTCAGTCCCGGATTTTTCACAGGCGACCCTCAGACCGTGGCCGCACAAATCTTCTCCCTATCGTTCCAACTCTAACAGCTGTCCCGAAGGACCCGCGTGCAATGGCCCCCTAGAGCACCTCCGGAGGGGTCGGGCACCCCTCCTAGGCTCGTCACCAGGCCGCACTTCAGCAGCCCGCGGTTGCGCTTGCTATAATAGTCAGTGGCCCAGACAATTGGCCCAAGCAAAAATCAGCACCGGCTGGCCTCCAGTATCCAATAAGGAAAAAATTCAGGGCAGAGTCTAAAAAAGATTAAAAATAAAATAACGCGAGAAGGCTGACGGGGCGGGGCGAGGGTCCTTCCAACGCTCCCGCGATCTTGCAGGGTGAGCCCGCGGTCAGACTTCTCCAGCAAAACAAAGGGGGATAGTCCCGCGGGACCCTCGACCCCCCAGCTCCTTCGCATTCCGTCGCTCCTGCGCCATCGCCGGCTGGCTTCGATCCCCACACCGTCGTGTCATAAGTCCAATGTCGTGACCTATAGGGCTGAGCCCAAGCCTGAGACCAGCGCCCCCAGAGTACCATACTAGGCAGTGCGGCGCGACGCTTTGGGCCAACAAATCGGCTGTGCGGCCCCCAGTTCCCGCGCCGGCTTGCTTATACCGTGTCATAATTGCCCAGCGCGCCATCCTACGACACCCCGCTCACCACCCGACATCGCGTCGTCATTTGCCGATGCCGTCGTCGAGGTCGTTCCCCGCACACGCGCAGGTCTCAGTCAAACGTAGCCATCGAAAGAAAATATCCCCTAGGTCCTACTTTAATCCAGAGTAACCAAAAATAAAAACTCAACGATAAAAATAAAAATAAACAAGTCGGCGCCCACGCCGGTTTCATAATCAACATCAGGGGATGAAAAAGGCGCGCCTTAAACCTGCGCGCCCGCGCACTCTTTACTCTAGCCAGTCGTCCTGTCAGTGTAATCACAGACACAGTCGCGCCTAGCCCGGTATACTTAACTTCAAACCAAAACCATTTTCTGCCACTTGCATAAAACTGGGCGGATACCCTTGTAAGGGTATTCGCGCCGACAGCGGCGGTGAAGGATGCTCCTATTCCCACGACATTGACACAGGTTCGAGCTTTCCTGGGACTGGCGTCGTACTATCGTCGCTTCATCAAGGGCTTCGCTGCAATTGCGCGACCTCTAACGAACTTACTGCGGAAGGACCAGCCCCTCAGCTGGGACGCAAAGTGCGAACAGGCCTTCGCCACCCTCAAGGACGCCCTGGCGACAACACCTATTTTGATCTGGTCGGACCCTATGAAGTGGTTCATTCTTATCACGGACTGGCAGCCAGAGGCGATCTCCGCTATTCTAGCGCAGAAGGGGAATGAAGGTCGGGCACACGTCATCGAGTACACATCACGGACAGTACCAGACCAGCGGAGGAACGATTCGGCCCAGCAGGGTGAACGTTATACAGTAGTCTGGGGGATTCAACACTTCCATCCGTACTTGTAAGGCCAGAAGTTCCTCCTTGTAATCGATCATGAGCCATTACTGACTCTCAAGAAGCTCACTAATTACACGGGTATGATTAGACGCTGGGCGGTGCGCCGATAGGAGTACGACTTCGACATCATCCATTGAAAGACAGAGAGGCACGACAACGCGGACAGGTTGACACGTCTGCAACGCCCCGCTAAGGTACCTAAGGGTGAAGAAATCATTTCGTGGAAGGAACCGGAGTCAACGAACGGACCCAAGTACGGACAAGTGGCAGTCCTTCCATGTGGCAAGAAGCAGGCAATTGGCAATGGGTGACGGAGGTAATCTTGTGACTCCCCTCTCTCCCCTCTCATCCTCATTTCTTCTCTCCCTACCTGACAAATTTTGTTATTTTTGCGAAGCAATTTCGCGCGTCTACTCGGTCCCTATGCGTCATAGTGGGGAGGGATATGTAGAATGGATAGATTGTTGACAGTGTGTCGCACGAGCCCATGGCTCGTGTATCCAGTACAGAAATGACGATAAGCCTTGGTTGTGTCCCTTGTGTCGGGTTGATAAGATCTCGACCGAGGCTCGATTTCTTGACACCACGTCGGAAGGGTTGGAAAAGACCCGGAAGTTTAGAAGGGCTGAGGTATGGACGGATATCGCTCTAATAGCTACCTTGGTAGGAAACCTCCTCCAGGACTTCACTAAAGAAGACCGGAGGAGGGCCAATGAAAGAGTTCGTGACTATCGTTGGAATGAGGGCCGGTTGGAAAAACGAAAGACGGATGGTAGTGGGATTTGGTTGGTAGTGCCGCACCCGTTCATGAGGTATGACCGGGTTAAGACGGCGCATGAGGAAACTGCAACCCATTTTGCCGTACGGATCACGGAAGCAGCAATCGATAAAAATGAATGGTATTGGTCCAACATTCGTGACGATGTGAAATTCATCGTCGCGAACTGCCAGGTCTGCGCTGCTAACAAGGCGCCGATTCAGCCGCCAAGATCGGTAGTCGAACGACCTTTTAAGAGGGTTAGCATGGATACTACCGATATTGTGGTGCCCCCTGGACCTAATAGCTGCGAATATTCAATCCTACTAGTATTTGTAGACCACTTCTCGAAATGGATTGAGGCATATCCGTGTCGTACGCGACAGGTGGCTGAAATTGCGTGATACGTCAACCGGTTTTTAGGGATGCATCAGGACACAGAGGAGATCCTCACCGATAATGGGGTAAAATTCAGAGGGGAAGTTTTAAGGAATCTTGTTGTACATGGCGTCACCATTCGGAACACTCCACCCCACATGTCACAGTCTAACGACCTGGTAGAAAATGTGAATCAGGTGATAAAGACAGTGTTGCGACGAAACATCACAGCACGGGATCCGAGGCTCTGACCCGATATCGTAGATCACATCCTGGCGGTCTTTTGGGGAACGCCTCACGAATCGACGGGCCTTAACCCCTTCCAATTACGAACCAATAGCGTAGCTTGTGTCTCGATACAGAGCCTCCCCGATGAATCTTCATTGAACCGGCGACCCACAAGAGCCATGGTTCGGAACAAGGCCAAGCGGCATATGGAGCTGATGGAACAGTCCCTTCCCCGATTAGCCCAAAAGCGCCAGAAAATGACTGAGTTGGCCCACGGCCTACAGGTCCGCCGTTACGAGGCCCGGAATGGGAATGCGGGACCACGGTCCCAGTATAAATTAGGGGACCTGGTGCAGGTGAGGAAATGTGCTCGCCAAGGGAAGATAGTGCCACGATTCTTCGGGCGATTTCGTGTGATCGAGCTCGTTCCGAACGGGGTGAACACCGTGCGCCTCGTGTCGGAGGTCTCGGGAAGCCGACCAGCTCGACCGATCGTCTGCCACGTGTCCTATCTACGTCCTCTCCCTTCCTCTCCATCTCCAGATGTGTCTGCTTCCTCTTTCGCTACAGAGGAGGACGATGACTCTCTATCGCTCTCATCCCCTCCTGCATCTCTCGCCCCTTCTCATACCCCGTCCCCATCGCCATCGTCATGAGTTTTCTCACTGAGCGAGCTCTCAGCGATCACATGCTGGCGCCACGTCGCGACATTTCAGCAATTCGACAAGTTTATCATCTGCGACCCAGTCCAGATCTGCTCCGGCTCGTGCAGTTCTTTAGCACTACCGGGGTGTACGTGGCGGCGGAGTTCCGGTTCACAGGCCATCGTCAAGCGATCGTGTTGGCAGAGGCGACGACGGTTCGACGGTTGTCAGCACCGGGAGTTAGCCACGTGTCTACCATCGCCATCTTCAGCGATGATATTAGTGCGATGAACCCTCTACGACACACGGCCATCCGGACGTCACTAACGGAGTGGGGCCAGCAGCTGGCAACAGAGTGGAATCAGTGGCTTACGCGTCGCGACGACAATCTTGTCCCCACGGACGACATCCACGTCGGAGGGCTCCGAACGTCTTGGCACGAGCCGACGGTGGTGCTTCCTGAGCTCGTCCCTTTCAAGCACCCCCAATGAACCGCTCCCATCTCTCTACCTTCGCTCTCCCATCTCTCTTCCCTACCTTCTGGCAGTCTGACCTTTGCCCCCGTCTCTCCTTTCGTCTGAAATCGCTCGTTGTTCCCCTCCTCGATCGAAGACAGTGGGAAGTGTGGTGCGAGCACTTCGTCAATCTTTCGGTGCGTCTGGTCGGGGTACAGCTGACGTGGACGAGGGACATAGAGCACCGCGCCTGGATCGAATACGTGGAGTTGTTGATCATCCAGGCTTGAAGGACGGAGGTGGAAGGAGACCTTCTCGGATTTCTATCCGGATCGGTGCGGCCTGTCCATCGATAACAGATCGTACAAGAGCTCACGATTCCCCTCGCGCAGCTGGTCGACGATCTCCCTCTCAATATCGTTTCGCAGTGTGACGAAAGCCCGGTCTCGCACGTCCTTTTACGAACTCTGACGCCCTACCTACAGTCGTCGGCCTGCCTCGAGGAGAAGGGGGGTAACAGCAACCCGCCATCACAACGAGAATACCTGGACCCGCGGAGGATAATCAACCTCGCCTTCTTTCAGCCTCGAACGGCCTCCGAAGACGAAGGGCTAACGCTAGAGGAGGAAGAAGAAGAGAACGTAGAGGAAGGCGCCGAGGAGGAAGAAGAGAAAACCCCGGAAGAAGGAAGTTACAATGAGCATACCGAGGGAGAACAGAGTGAAGAAGAAGAAGAAGAAGGAGAAGAGGACGAGGAGCAAAAGGAGTCTGAGTGGGAAGACTTGGGCGAGGAGGTGGACCATACAGAGGTCCAGGAGGAAGATCCAGAGGCGGTGGCGCGGCGCAGAGAAGAGATCGTGGCCGGTAAGCAGCCGCTAGAGTACGCGAGTGGGACAAATCTGCCAACCTTGGACGATCCAACCAAGGATCCGGAGCCACCCAAGCCAGAGGATGGGACCTTGCTGCCGAGACTTCGAGCGCACCGGTCCGACGTCGACGAAGCCGATCCCCCTCCCCCTCCACCTCCACCCGTCCACCAGTTCGAGTTCGTACCGATGCGGGGCATCGGGCTTCGTCCCCGGTCCTTATCCCGTCGTCCCCTTGACCACCTCACCCTCCGCCAGATCACCACCCGCATCACCTTCCCCCGCAATCCTTTCCAATCGACACCTTCCGCTTTTTCTATGCCACCCGTCTTGCTGTCATGGTTCATCCCCATCCCTCTACCCGCTGTGCCACCCCGGTCTTCTGTCTCCACGCCCTTCTCTTCAGTGCCGCGTGGCGAGGCCACAACATCATCGAGGTTTACTGCATGATCACGAAGACTATCCCCGCATGCGAAAACCACGATCACTTCCGCACGTCACTCTTCTGAACTTTCACCACCCTCTACCCCGAGTATCTCGCATCTCTTCCTCATAGTGGTAATCGATTCCCTCGCTTTCATTGGATCATCCGATATCAGGAGCTTCCGGTGACAGTAGCGGGAATGGAGAATTTCCTACCCCCTCTCCCGACTAACCCACCCCATCGCCATGCCCTCATGTATCATCTTCCCTTTCCTCTTCCCGTTGGTCATTGATGCACGATTGATTGTTGCATGCCACGACGATGACACAAATACTCCCCTCCTTGGATTGAAGAGAGCCCTTCCTGAGGAATGTTTAGGAGAGAGCCACATTTGCCACACTGGATGACTTCCACACTCCTTCGCACGATTGGTGGCAACGTAGAAAGCTCCGAGTGTCGATCGATTAGAGAGATCAACACGTGTCATAGTGACAAGCAAGCAGGAGCTTGCTTAAGATTGGAACCCCTTGGGCGTCACATATGTGACGAACCAATTTTTCTTCCGCGCGATTTTCTGCGCAATGACAATGAGGGGTCCTAAGATGGGAAGGATGGGCCAATTACGAGAGATCGGGATCAAAGGGAAATTGCATCGGTGTCCTCGCTTCTTCGTCTTTTTACGTCGCTTCTTTTCTGAATGGCTGGGTTTAGGGCCGGGCAAGTCCCGAGATGGCCGATTGAGTGGCTGTCGCACCGACAAAGGCGCGATTAATGATGTTTGACGTCGCTTCTTTCCTCTTCTGTTGTTGGGTTTTAGGCGCGGAGGTCGCACGGGAAGTTTTGCTTCTTTTTGAATTTTTTTTTCGGATCTTGTCAAGCCCCGATGGCTCTCGGAATTTCGGACTTTCTTTTCAGAATTTGTGCTTTATTAAAAGTTCTTTTTGCAATAAGTTTAAGAATTTAGGAATTTCGGAATTCGGGATTTCTTTTGCCGCGCGTTGTTTTTCTAGCGCGCTTTTTTTTGCGGCTGCAGCGGAGCTCTGACTAGTCGGCGTCCTTAATCTTGCGTATAACCGTAATTTTGGGCAGGGCGCCCTTGTAACTGTATCTTTCTTCTTGAGCTTCGTCTTTCCCGCTGTCGGTGCGAATACCCTTACAAGGGTATCCGCCCTGGTTTTTGCAAGCGACAAAAAATAGTTTTGGTTTAAAGTTTAAGTGTACCATGCTAGGCGCAGCGGCGCCTGTGATTTACGTTGACTGGATGACTGACTAGAATAGAGAGTGTGTGGGCGCGCAGATTTGAGGCGCGCGTGATCTTTTTGAATTATTGATGGTTGAAGAGCCGGCGTGATCGCCGGCCGGATTTTCTCTTCTGATTAAACAGGGATTAAAAGGATTATGCCTCGCTGATTGATGTGCTTGCCTCTGACCTGTGCGTACGTACGGAGGGCGGCGTCGACAACAATGTGGCTCCTGAGGACGTTTCAGTAGGTTGGCGCGTCGCGCAGTGCCCGTTTATCCAGGGAACCGCCAGAGCTAGACCCAGACTTGGGCCTAGCGCTATTGGTTACGGCATTCGACTTTCATCGAGGAGATTCAGGGATCGAGGACAGGCGTCGACAACGCGGGAATATCGGAGTAGTGTGAAGGCACCGAGGGGTCGAGGGTTCGATGGGGCTATCCCCCTTTGGGTTTGTTGTGGTGGCGTCGGAACGGTGCAGGAGGTTTAAGGGGGTCCTAAATATTTTATTTACCGTCATCGTTACCTATTTGTATGCCCCGACGTCTTTTGAATAACGGTGTAACGCTAGGTATAGGGGCCGGTAATATTGGCGACGTACGACCTACGTTTCGAGTCCGGCGAGGTCGCACGGGGGTGTGTTGTATTCACAGGGCGGCATGGAGTATAGCCGCAAACTGTTCCGGGAATGTGCCAAAAGTACCCCGTTATGGTGTTCCGGGGGTCTCCGTAGCAGCCACATCCGTGCTCAAGCCTCTGACGAGGGAACATGCGGGAGCCGCACCCGCCAGCGGGGGTGATACCTGCTGTAGGGGGGGGGTGGCATCAGCTGAGGTCAGCCGGTAGGGCCGGGCTATTCCAAGAGACCGGCCGAGGTGCCTCTCCTCTGGCGCCCCCCCCCCCTCCTATGGACACCAACATGTGATGAGCGTGGGTCTGGTCGGGTGGCCCCGGGTAGCCGCGGGCCAAGCAGATAGCTCAGCGGGTGGCGGTTAGCAGCGGGAAGGGGGTCGGAAAATGGCGGAGGGGATGAATTCGGGCGCATTTCAGCGTCGGGCTCATCCGGAAAGGGGGGTCAGGGAGTAACGGGCGAAGTGCCCGAGATCAGTAGGTGATAGGGCCGGGGCGCTACGGAGTCCAGGCGCTACGTTTGGGTTTGGGTTGTCGAGTGAGCCGCTGCGGTGGGCGCCAGTGCATGTAAAGGAGGCGGGCGAGCTGGGTGAGTGGGTGGATTGAAGTCCGAGGCAGCAGGTGGCGGGTGGACCCGGACGAGAACCGCGCAAGGTGCATGCGCAGGAGAACAGGCAGCGCAGCATTGGTGTGGCGGGCGGCGAACGGGGGAGAGGAGCAGCGGGAAGGGGGCGGAGCGCGAGGCAGCAACGGGCGAAGTCGTAGCGCAGGGGAGTGACGGGTAGTGGAAGCAACGGTGGTGGAGGGGGCCGAACCCGGCCGAACCCGGACGGGTAGTCGTGGTAGACAGTCCGGGCAGTCGTGGTAGATAGCGCTGTAGGCAGGGGCGGGCGCTGAGACCGTGCAGCGAGCGTTAGCAGGTGAGAGCGGAGCAGGCAGCCGGGCAGTCGACAGCGAGAAGGGAAAAAGGTGACTCGTGAGTGAACCCGGACGGGTATTTGTGCCGGATGCATGCGCAACAATGAGCTATGGGGGAAAGATCGGTCGTAGCCGAGGAGAGCATAGCTCTCTCAATCCTTAACGAGAACAAGAAGGGGGAGGGGCGATTCCGGGGTTTTGGCCCCGGGCGAACTCAATAGTGAGCCTAGAATGGGAGAAGAAGTAGGGGAATAGGGGACGCGATGAAAACGACAGCGTGAAGAGATGGCGGAGCGAAAGAGAGGGGGAATGAGAAAACACATATCTCATCCGATTCCTAACGGAATCGGGTGAGGAAAGATGCCATTTCGGCATTTTGAGGTAAGGCGAACCCAATAATGTTGTTAGTTCTGGGAGTGAAGGAGTGTGCGGGGAGATAGAGGGAAGATGTGGTGCGGGAAGGTTCGCGGAAGTGGGCTATGGCAGAGAGCAAAAGTAAGACTCTTGCTCGACTGTTTAGCGAAAGTGAGCCGGAAAGGAAGTTAAATTGAGTCTTTCTATGTTGGGCGAATCCGTACTCGAAGTCAGATTTAGAGGGGAGTTAGTAAAAAGAGAAGTAGATGAAGAGTAGGCCGCGCGGTAGCTGTCAAGGGAAGCGGACACGTGAGGTGAGAACAGATCATCTCGCTCGTGGCCGAATCGAGCGAGCAGAGGTCCGATTATGAGGTTTTAAGGTGATGTGAGGACGATGGCGGTGTTAGAATTAGAGCCTAGAGGCTAGTTTTTGTCTTGTTTGCTAGAGGTTGCTCCCGAAAGTAGTAGATAGCTATGATAATAGTATAGAATGAACATGCCCATGTTTCAGGGACAGATTCATCTGATTCTACTTGCTCTTGTTGGTGAAAGTAGCATGAGGGAGTGCACGATCAGAAAGAGAGAGGCACCATATTTACTTCAGGTCACATAGTTGGTTGGGCGCGGCCCGAATAGAGGAAGAGGAGCTCAGGTACACAAACACTCACGGAAAAAGCGGGATAAATGAAAACTTACCTTGGAAGTAGAGAGAAGCAGGAGATCTACCTGTGCACCGATGTGTCCAACTGGGGGCTCGCATGTACCTGTTGGGGGAAGGAGAGTTGCCGTGAGGGCAATAGGCCAACCACGGGACATGGAGACTACCTGATTGATTGGTACGCGACCGGTTCCGGTTTGAATACGGACGGCGGGGACACATACCTGGTTCTGACGTCATTCTGCCCGGCCTATATCTGAGTGCTGACTGCACAACATTTTGTCGTGGTTTCTTCTCTACTGCGGGTTGCAGTTGGATGTGAGCGATCTGTGACAGTTGCTAATAGGAGCCGCTGCCGCTGCTGCTGACCGCCGCTAAGCTGTTGCATTCTGCCGGTGACCGTTGGCGATTGTCGTTATTGCTGCTTGTCGCCGTTGAGTACTACTGTTGCTGCACATAAGGACTGATAATAGGGTGATGGGCGGCTGCGGTTGGGCTGAGGAGAGGAATTGAGCGTTGGGGAGGTAATCTGACTGGACGAGTAGGGGGTTGGTGCTGCGATTTGGGAGTTCGTCAGGAGGGGTTACTTCGGCAGTCCGAGTTTGTTGACCAAGTTGTCAGTTAGCTGCCACTGCGGGGCCCTTGGGTGACTGAAGATAACAAGGTCCTCTCTCGCGAGTCTGAGTGCACCCTTCTTGGATCTGAGAGTCTCAAACCCTTCTCTATCTGCCCTTCTCACTCTAAGTCCAGTTTGTTGGTTACGAGAGGAAGGCGGCAGGCGGGATTGCAACCCGTACGACCGCAGCAAGGCTCTGTGGGGAGTCATCCCACCGATTGCAGGAGCTCTGCCGGAACTCAGGAGGAGTTTTGGAGGCAGGGGACTGAAAGATCATTGCCCCCCCCTCTATATACCCTGGTATAACCCTTGTCTGTACATCTTCCGATGTATCTGACTGAGTATATTGAGTGCACCCATACTTTGACTTTGGGTTGACCTTCAGGACACAAGTCAGACTAACTAAAGAAATGTATATATAATGGCAGTTTCAATTTCTTTGATTGCCTGAAAGCAGATTGTCACAAGGGGTTGCATCAGGGGGAAGGCCGGGAGGAAGACAATTTTGCTTGCGACTGAACGGGTCTTATAGGGTCAGACATTGTTTCTAAGATGAATGGCCTGACTGCTGTGTTTTATTCTGTTTTCTGAAGAACCAAGCATTGTTTCCAAGACGAATGGCTTGGTTGCTGTGTTTCTTTAATTG